AATTTTCATTTTTTGTTTTTATTTATGTTAATCGTTTTGCATATGCTATATAGTATTAGAGTCCTTGTGTATAGTTTGTATGGAATTTAAAATTTTGGAGAATAAAAAAAAATATTGAAGATAGAGAGATTTAAGCTCTTGAACTAAGAGAAGAAGAATATTTCGTTTTTTCTTTTTTTTGTATGGATTTACATTATTTGAATTAAAGTTCACTTGTTGATTTTCGTCCTTGAATTAATTTCGACATTTTTTTATAAAATTACTATGCATGTACTGTGTATATACGCATATATATATTCTTCACTTATATTCTAATTTAAAAGAATATTTAGATGTATGTATATAATCAAAGAGCTAGAAATGATAGATTCTCAGTATTATTGAATGATGGAAATTTGATGCCATATAGAATATTATATATGAAATAATAATAAAAATAATGGAAAGTAATCAAAAAAATTACAAAATAAAAGGAATAAATGATTCAATAAAAAGGATAACGTATATATTATTATTGTATATTGTATATACGGAAAAAAGTTCCGTATACATAATTATTGATTAACTAGCATTTATTCTAAATTTTCATCTATTTACTTACAATTTATATGTGGTTGTAAGGTTATAAATGCAAGATTGAATATGTCAGATTTGTAAATGGAATAAATCTTGTATTGCGTTGGACCATTTTATTGATATTACAATGTAATAAATGATTTAAGTTTATCAAATGGATTTTTAAAAATTTACGGCAAAATTAAATCATTGAGTAGAAATTTTTTAATTTACTTTATAATTTCGTTAAAAATTGAGTTAAATTTACATTACAGTTTTTTTACATTACAGAAATTACAGTTTTTGATTCTGTATTTTAAACTATTTTTAGTTTAAATTTTCTATTAAATAGGAAAATCAATGCAACGTACTATATCATTCAATTAAAATTTATCGAAAAACTTAGATTTTTGTGCAGGATGCATTTGTATTTCTTATTTCTTATATAATAAATATTAAGTTTCTATTATTAGATTTACCATTTCACTCCTAATAAATTTTATTGCATGATACTGGAAATATACTGTGAAAAATGAATAATATTTCTATTTATAAACTGCTGGTATATCTTTTATTTTAAAAAAATATGTAATGAGATTTCAATTTAAGAATTGGACTCTACGTATTATTGTAGCTATTAAATTTTTAAATTTTAATGAATTGGTGAAAAATTTCACAAAATTAAATTTTTAAACTTTCCTTTAAATTTTCTAAGAACTTTAATTGATATTGAAAATAAAATCTAAGCTAAAGCAGATATGAAAGCAAAAAATATGGAGCAAAAAGAAATTTTGTTATTTTTAAGCACAACAATTAACAGAAGAATTCTTTAAAAAACTGCAAAAACTAGTGAAAAAAAGTACAGCTGATTTAAATGCGCTATACTGCGTTTATGAAAAGGCCTATTACAATAAACACTAATAATAAATTCTACGAGAGAACTGGATGGCTTAGATTGGCCACTTTTAATAGTAAACTCATTGACGCTACATTTGTGCTAATTGTGGTGCAGTGGACCTTTTTCACCGCCTCGTTGAAGTGGCCAATCAATAATAAACACACTTAACTAAGTATAATAAAAAATTGTTCTACGGATTCAAGAAATTATCCAATTTCTTTTATAGTATTTAGATAACCGAAAATTTATCCTTGTGACTACATGTACTTTATTTTTTTTGAAATATTTAATATTTCTTCTTTTACAAAAAATATGAAAGAATATTTCCGTTCCATTTTATTTTTTTCTCTTTGATTTAACAATTGAATGTCCTAGCACGTTTATTGGCATTATTGTACGAGGAAAGCAATTTCTCATATTTTTCACTTTACTGTCGATTAACATCGCTTTGAATTATCAGTTTAAGATTATTTTAGATATTTTATAGATGAAATTAAATATGTATACATACATACATATCTATACGATGAAAAGACAAGGTGTTAACAAAGGAGCTATAAGAGGAGAAAGTGCTAAGAAAAAATTATTCACAATTTTTTTTGTTATTGAAATATTATAAAATTTTAAATTTAGCATTTGTATCTTGAACAGTTTAAGACCATAGTTGCAAAAATTTTAGCAGAAAAACGTATTAAGATTTCATAACAATTCTGTTGGTGCAAATTGGCCGTCATTTTATTATAGACTAAGTTTAATTTTCCGATTTTGAATTTTTATACTTTAATAAAATTGCTATTAAATTAAATTATATTGTAAAATTAAGCTCTGTTAGAAGAAGACTAATATTCTAACATTTTTATGCAATTAATTATTCAATTAGTTTTTTATTTGAATATGTTGTATAGGATTTTCAGCAATATTTTGCAAGTTTTAAAATAACTTTCAATTCATTCAAATGTGTCCTGCTCCAATGAAGTTCTCGCAAAAGTTTTCATGACTGTTTTTGCAAATAATAAAATTTTACAATTTTAATTGCAAATAAATAACTTTTTTTCAAAATCATGTTTAGGAAAATTGTAGTACTTTTCAAATATTTTATCAAGATTTTCCGACAAAATAAATCTTAATTTTATAAAAATTAGTTTCTTATTATTATTTTGTAATACTTATTAAGATTTTATTGATGTCACTACTCACTAAATATTTTTAAATGACGATGTAATGACACAATATTACAAAATTATAATAGCATATTTTTAGGGATTCTAATGAAAATCTCAGTTGTTTATTTTTTACATAGTTGATGCGTTATAAAAATTACATTAAAATTCTGGCATTTAAAGGAGGAAAACTTAATTTCAATTTATTTTTTTTTCGATTATTTTAACACCCACTACTAAATATTTGTATTTATTTTTATCATACGTAGTAGTGATTTATATTTAATTTTAAATGTCAATCTGACAAAATTCATTAACGTTTTTTTTTTTTTTGCTCTTAAAATACACATCAAAAGTAGGTTGTTTTATTTTAGAATTTTTTTGTATGCAAAATAAAAAATATTAAAAAACAAAAAGAGCAAATATAAGAATATTAAAAACAGGACTACAACAGAAAAGAGAATTTCAATATTTGGATACTAAAAATAGATTGTGATTTTGCGTCGTTTCTAAAAACAAAAAACGAAAATATTCAGAATAAATTTCAAAATAAATTAAATGAGGAAAAAATGGAAAATGCGTGCAAAAGAACGTATGTATGTGTTAATGTATGTATTTTGATTTTAGCTTTTAAGTTAAAGATAAAGAGAGACAGATATATGTATGCCAGAAGAATGAGAAATATTTTTTTTTATTTACAATTAATTTATGCAACGTCAGGTAGGGAAATGTCCTTCAAATATTAAAATTAAATATTAACAAGTAAATAAAATGAGCGTTATTTTCTTTTACGTTTTTATCGTACTTTAAAAAAAAAATAAACTTAATCGAAGTTAAGTAGGAAGTTGATGTTAGTTTAAAAATTTTAATAAACATCAAATTTTTACACCTACGTTTTTTGTTCCTTTTTTTTTTGTATTTTAAGGATAAAAATTTGTTTTGTGCGCAAATAATTTAATTTTTGTAACTTTGGATATAAAAAAGGTATTCAAGGAATTTTTTATTAATACGACATTAAAAATTTCATGAAATTGAAATAAATTTTTTGATATATTGTGAATATTTTGAAGAAATTATGAGATTCACAAAAGCGTGGGGTTAGGCATTTATTCTACAAAATAAGCGAAAAGTTAAGTTACATATGCTTAATTTCTATTGTTATAAAGTTAAGGTTCAGTTGAGGTTTGATGCAGGGGCCGCTTAAATTTTAATGCCTTAAGTTTTCAAAATGTATGCTATGCTACTGATATATAGAGTTTTTTTCGAAATTATCAAATAAAAGTTGTACGATTTTGTAAAAATTGCAAAAAAAATAAATGTCTATTTGATTTTTGATACATTGCATTTATTTTTTCCCTAAACATATTGTATTATTTGCTCTAAAGCAACGTAAAAATTTTGATGCATTTTATTATTTATTTCCATTACTTTAATAAGAATAATTTTACTTTCTACTTTAATAATTTATTAAAGTAGAAAGTAAAATTAGAAAATATTTTAGATTCACAAAAGTAAAATAACGTGGCAGACACAAAATGAAAGAAGAAATATTGAACATAACATACCGTAAAATTTTTTTTGTTGACATTTTAGTGTCTGATACGACCTAGATACAATTCCGAAGATACCCATGCATATTTGTCTTGATAGTGGTCGGAATACTCCGGAATATGAAATTAATTTTGATTATGGCCATTACTTAGAATCTTTCTTTAAGCTGAGTACAAAACATATTTTTAACAAGTGTTGTTTGTTATGTATACGAAGATAGAACAGAAATGGCGAATGTTATTATACAATATGCAATATGTAATGGGCATTTGTAATTATTCTTCTTCATGTAAAGTTTTTTAATTATGTAGATATTCACTTATATTACATTATTGTTATATTTCCAATATTTATTAATGATCGCAAATTAACTCATCTAGTTTTAAAAACTTTTTCTTTTGTTTTTTCAAATAATTATATTTAAGCACTTTTTTCTCTCCTTATAATTTTTTTTTCAAGATATTTTAATTTTATATTTTATTTAAAATTTTTTTCTTACACAATTTTTTTTTATACATCCATTTACAAGTTTCTGTTACTGTACAATTAATTAATATTATTCTTTTTATAATTTCTTTTGTTTTGTTTCAATAATATGTTTTAATTAGTTAAGACTCCATCATATTATCACACCTAATCACAATAGTTTTGACTTATTTAAAGATTCTTAAAAATAAATTTGAACTAAAATGAAAGCAAAATTTAAAATAATATTTTATTAATTATTATAATTAACTATTTAACTATAATTAAAATGTATTATATAATTATATATATATATACATATGTATATATATTGATACTTAAAATATTCTAATTTAATTAAAATTTTTCTATTTAATCCTAAATTTTACAAAAAAAAGTATTTGATTCGTTATATATGTATGTATTCATTAATTTTATTTTTATTTTTAAATATATATAGGTTTATAGGAAATAATTTTCTTTTTATGGTAATGGCCATGGTAAACCAGTAAAATCAACAGGTCCACCTAAACCAGCATCAGCTTCTAATAAACTCATAATAACAGCCATTGCAGCTTCATCATTACCATCACTTGTTACACTCTGATTTGGAGATTCGTGAATTGATGTTGAAACTACAGATGTCATTTCACCGTCATTAGCTAAAAAAAATATTTAAATTAAAAATTAATAAAAAATTTTTAATAAAATTTTATAAAAATGCAATAAAAAAAAAAGAATATTCAAACCATTATCAGAATTCGTTGTAAAATTATTTCGAACATTATTAAAATGTGGTAATGTTCCATTTAAACGTGGATATTGTCCAGTTGATTGATTATTTCTTCTATCCGATGATTGTAATTCACCACCAGAAATACTATTTTCACCAGAAGACATTGTTTGACTAGGATTACCACTACGACTATCAGGATCTGGACTACTTTCTAGAAAAAGAAATGATAAAAGAAATAACATGAGAGTAAGTAATGATAAAATTTAACAGGTTAATGTAAATATGTATTATGCTTGTACATTGTATTTATATGTGTTTTATTTATAAATATAAAGTATAAGCAATGAAATTTCCGATTTCTAAGCATACATTAATTAAATATTTTGAATGAAGTTGAATGAAATTCATCAATTATCAAATAGTTGATAAAATCGCGTTCTAAATTCGTTTGACTATCGCGTTATACTATTCTTTTGAAAATATCACACTAAATATCTATATTATTTCATTATTTTTTAATAAATGTTAAGAAATCGAAAATAACAATTAGCGTTGAATAATTGCAATATTTACAAAATTTGATTTACCAGTAGAAGAGTCACTAATTCTTCTATGATAATCTAATACTTGTTCAGCTATTTGCCTACCAATTTTACTTGCTTCAATATGAGAATTGATGATTCTATGTATTTCACGTCCATTTGCTATAAAAAATTAATAAAAAGAAATTGTCTTTAATTAAAATATTTTTGTATTCGCATTACCAAATCCACACATTCCAATATAAGATTTTGTTGGAAATAAAATATTAAGAGATGATAAAAGCGTTTCAACATTAATTATTTGTGTCATTCTACCTTGAAGAATCCTAAATGCACTTTAGCAGTGTGAAATGCTTTCATATACTTTTAAATTTCTTGAATATTTAAAATATTTTGAAAAAACTTTATATTTTATATTACTCAATATTCTCAAATATTTTTTTCAAAGAATAATTTTTTGTTTTAGGATATTTTTTTATATGACTGTAATTCACAATAATATTTGTTTACAAACTGAAATATCATTGTGAATGAAAAAGTATATTTTCTTAAAGTTTCAAATATAAAATCTGATTAATGTATGAAAATTCAAAATTTTTTTGAGTATGATAGGAATAGTTTACAGAATTATGGCCTACTTTTGGTATTAAGAAATTTATAATTTTAAAAATACATACACGAAAGTTTTTATATTATTAAATATTGTTAAATAAAATTAGAATAAAAATATTTTTTGAATTGTTGAATTGCTGTTTTAATAATATGAAATCAAATATTGTGAATGATAGGGAATTTTATCAATAACACAAACCGGTATTTGAAATTTTACTAGTGACACAAACCATTTAATTTATGTATTAAAATTCGCTGTTAAAATGTTTTCGTTTTTTATAATGTTGCAAGAATATGGAAATTATTTTGACAACAGCAGAATTGTTAAATTTATTTAAATAATGTTATAAATTTTACATAATACACGAAATTAAAAATTCACTTACATGGATTAAAAAAATCAAAATTACTAGAAATATTATGTGTATTCATTCCATCACTTCTATAATTGTTACCATTTTCTCTAGCATCAGATCTACAAAGGAAAAATTTCATTATCAATTGAAACTATTTAAAAAAAAAACCTTATAAGAATTTAATTTCTATATTCAAATAACGTACAATATTACTGAATTTTTCGCTATCAAATATTCAACATCTTTTGTCCAAGGATTTTTAAATGATTTCCATTCACTTTGTAAGCGAACGAAACCATTATCTTTTGTACGAAATCTATAAGCTAATGTTGTTATCTTTTCAGAACTCTGTAAAGCGATTTTGTGCGATTCTGCTAGTGCTGGTATATCATCATGATGATAATACTCATACATACTTGTACCCAAAAGTTCTTGTGGTAAAAAACCCAATACTAAAGTTGCTCTACAATAAGAATAAATACACAGTTCAAAATGTTATTTAACAATAACTTAAATTATTTATATTTTTGATAGATATACCTTTGGTCTACAAATAAAAATTTTCCATCCATTGCATGTCTTGATATAAATTGAATTTGTCGGAGATTCGGATAATAATTGCATGGTGGGTTGACATTTGGTTGAAAAACATTTGGTGGAATACGGCCGACAGCTACTAAACATGATAAATTACATGAATCACCATCAGTGTCATTCTCTTGTTCTTCTAAACCAATTTTGGCTGGAGCCCATGATTTTAAATAACCCGTACATTGTATAACACAATATTTTTTATCTGAATTCATTTTACTTTTACGTCGATGTGAATGAGATGAATTACTTGTTTCTGTTTCTTCTTTAACCATTTGTGCTGAATTTTTACATTTCATGCGACAAAAAAATGATCTTCTGGCTCCTGGACATAACCTTGACAATCCCTGAGGTAAGTCTGTTTTAACCGGAAGCATTGCTTAAATATAAAATAAAACACATGTAAGTATTAATATAGTATAAAACAAAATTTTTCTCTCTTACTTTTGGCATCAATTAAACGTTCTCGTGGACTTAAATCCGGTGATGATAATTGTTCTTTAACTTTTGCAACATCTTTGGGATGCAATATATCAAACCAACTTTGCCCTAATAAATCACCTTGAGTGTAATTTAAAATTTCAGAAACAGATTCTGAAACATAAAGAATTCTGCCTCTATCACAGCCAACAACAAATAAAAAACCATCAGCCGCTTGGAGTATTAACATTTTCAATTCTTGATCAGATAAAAATGCAGGCTTATAATGTCCTTCTGTATATGAATGTACAGCACCACGTATTGTTTTTAAATGTTGTACAGCCATACGAAGTACGGTTAATTTATCTAATTTACGTGACATTGCATGACACATTGGTACCATAGCTGACAATTCTGAAATATATGTGTTCATTTTATCGCGACGTCTTTTCTCAATTTCACTATGGTTTTGTCTATAATAAAAAATATAAAAATATGTTTAAGTATAGGTGCGTTATTTACTAATTATAAGTAAAATTTAAATGTAGTTAGGCTTGGATCGGAGGAGATTTATAGGGAACTTAGAGCTTTTTAACCTATCTAGCTGGAGCGTCGAATATAAAATTCCTCTACACAGGTCATGGAAGTGTAAAAATATTTGTATAAGTAAAAAACATGAAAAACTTATTCTCTAACAGTAACATGAATTTTATCATAAATTCTTAAATATTTTTCAGGTCTTTGTAATTTTTTTTGTAATTAAAATTTAAAACCAAATAAAATTTTTAATAATCTTTTGAACTTGACTGAAGTTTTTTATAATAGTGTTTTAAATTTAAATTCCTTTTGACCTTTAACTGTAATATTATTTGGTATACCAGAAAAACCTAGTTAATCCAATTAAAAAGTATTTAAAAAATGAAATGAATTTATTATCCATGGTTACTTTTTACACTTTATAATGCCTATGTATGTTCACTCTGTTATATATGCGAGAATGAGATTTTTAAAGGATTTTCCATTTAAATGCCACAAATTGTGAGAACCATTTAATAATTTTCAAATACCTCATCACAAAATGTTAATGTATGTAATGTAATGATAAATTTTTATATGTGAAATTTAAATCATGCATATATCTACTTCACAATTTACACATGGTAGCATACAGATGTCATAAAGGTCCTTTTGATCCTATTTTAATTGAAATAATAACATTTTCATTGTATTTTTAGTTAGATAATGACTTTATTTTAAAGTTATCACCTGAGCACAAAAGAATTTTTCAAAAAATGTTTAAATTTCATTTAAAAATTCCATGACAATAGGATTAAATTTTTAAATCGTCTTTCCCACCGCCTTTTTGCATTGAAATAATGAGGACATATCGGAAAATTTTTTTGTTGAATTTATGTCAGAATCTAATGAAATTTGAATATTATTACTGTTTTGGAATGTTTTGAATTTTATAGGTATGTATATGTGCATTGTAAGTTGATAAAAATGAAAAATTAATTGTTAGACTTTCTTTTTTCTGTAGAAAAATTAAATATCATTCTGTGAAATGGAGTAAATACCAATCTATATTCAGATTTCAAATATGATTCTTGTTGTAGAATGTTTTTTTTAAAGTATAGCAAGGCAGGCAACTGAGTAAACAAAATATGTAAATGGTCACTGTGAAACTAAATTAAATATTCTAATATTCTAATTTTGACGTGATCAATATTTTCAATATTACATTGTGATTATATAACATGCAAATTGAAGTAAAATTTAAATTTCATTTCACTTACTTTTTATTTTCGTCAACGGTTTTTATTGATTTTGCGTCATCACCAGTATCATCCTCCAAATCGCTTGTTGTATCACTAAAATTAGAGATAAAAAAATGAAAACAAATTACCTAATAAGGGGTAAAAAATAAAAAGGTAAATAATTCAATTTGAATTATTCATTAAAAGTGTGATTTTGTTTTTTTGTTTTTTTTTTTTTTTAAAAACTCAATATAAAATATTCGTTTCGAAATTTTCATACTATATTAGAATATTGATTTATTAATAGGTTTTTAGAATAATAAAATAATTTACATAGATTTATAAGTATGGACGTGTGTCCATATGTAAAAATAAGAGTACATCATAGAGAAATGAAATATCAATCAAGTGATTTTGCACCTAAAAATCTGAACATTTTTGTAAAATTATAGAGGTTATTTTAGATGTTCTACACTCTTAATTTTTATCGACCGCATTGCATGCAATAAGGGAGGTTGTGTGATGGCAACAAATTTTGTATGTAAAGTTTTCAATGAGACTTCTCTCATAGTCTCGCACTTCTCTATAATACGGAAGCGTAAATAAACTATTTTTAGAGAGATTTCGGTCTGTCTGTCTGGCTATGTCACGAATTGATCAACTTTTAGGATATATCAGGCTCCGGGAACTACAACTTTTTGCGGGCCGATTTTATATTTTTGCGCGAAATTATCAACTAATTTCCTTAAAATTCAAGGTGCTAATACAATAAACTTATAAATTTTTTTGGGAAGATTGGGGCTCGGAAACCGAACTAGGGTACGATGTTTGCAGTTTTTACCATAATTACGGAAATTTAAATGAAGAAATTGCGATTGGTACCGAAACTAACTTGGCAAACTTTTCGGGGAATCGAAATAGCACAAAGTGAAACTCTACTAAGAGCCAAATTCACATTGTTCTAGGTATATTAACTAAAAGCTTACTAGTGTCCTTAAAATTGTAAAGAAATCTTTAAAACGCATTTTCATATTCTTCTGTAAAACTTTCACTTAACTAGACAACATTACGGTCGGTTATATGTTGACCAAATCAATTTTTTTTTAAGATTTGTTGTTAATCACGTCAGTAAGTCTTCTTTTTCTTCAGTTGATCTTCTAATTTTTAACACTTTACAAGATTATTGGCTTTTAAACATAATAATGTAAATAAAATTTAATTACTGAAATTCCTATTTAGGCTTTTTAAAGTTTTCATCAGTGTACCGAGAATCTAGTTTCAGTATTGATTAAATAGCAACAATATTTTCTTAAAGATTTAATTGATCTGTTAAAAACCATATTATGATTATTCCTTTGATTATTTAAGTAAATACTTTAAAATTTATCTATAATATTCTCTGAAATTTACCTATAAATATTATGAAACAAATTAAGGAATATGTTATACACATACATATATTTTTTATATAACACTTAGAATCTTAAGTTTCTGGATGTTATTCTAAATACATGTACGTTAAGTATGTATTATGCAGAAGCTTGTTTTAAAAGGTTGTGTGTTCAAATAAACGTGCGAATATAATAATAAACTCATTTGTACATACATATGTAAGGAACATTTGAAAATATTTTCAAAGTTTTCTAATTGTTTCACAAACAATAATATTGTTTTTACTCAATTTCTCAGTATAAAATTTCTTATTTGTTAAGAAATAATTTTATAGAGATTTTTACTTTTTAAAACAAAATATGATTACTTTTATGGATTCAACATTTTCAAGAAGTTGTTACGAGTAACCATATTATTATTATACAGCACTTATAGCTGCTGTAATTTAAAAGAATTTTAAAAGAAATGTTGCACAATTCATTTTACGCTAAAGCAAATGTTTCAATTGTTCTAAGTAAAAAGTGAGAAAATTTTTTCTTTTTGCTTTTCATTATTATTTATATTGTGGTTTAAGGAAAAATTTTCTTCTAAAGAAAAATTACTATTAAAATGTTAATTGAATAATTTGTTAAGAAACACATACAAATTTCTTACAAACAAATTTATTACATGAAAACAAAGATTGCAAAGTGAAACTTCAAAGTAAATTCCTTTGACATTTTGCTTATATCAAAACGAAAGTAAAGGGTTTCTCATTCATATTATGAAAAAAAAAAAAATTTAATTGTTTTACAAATTTCAAAGGAAATTACTTGATTTTAAATTCTGCATCTTAATGATTATATGATGAATTTCCATAGAAAATAAATGATTTTTTTGCACATGTCGAGATCTTCTTTTTCGATCGAGAACTGAGCGCGATTGTTTTAAAATAAAGTATTGAAAACCTAGAATACAACAAGGCGTTTTCTAATAAAAAATTAGTTGAATTGGTAAAAAATCAAGAAAAAGCTTAAATTTTAATAGGCTTGTTAGGTCATCTGATTATAGGGAAAACGATATACAAACTCTGTTTGGAACTAAAGAAGAATTATTTTGAATGCTATTGAGGAGTGTAAGAATAAGGGATTTAATAATAAAATAAAATTTAACTGTTTAAGTTTGCAATATAAGCTTGTATAATGTTGTCCTTAATTTTTCATAAAAATTTCAAAATACAAATCTAATCTTTAATAATTCAGAGATTACCCATGTTGCCAAGTGTTTCTTAATATTTTTCGAATGTTTTTTAAATTGATTGATAAGCCTCAAAAGTTATTATTTTGATTTTTATATAATAAACACTTTTATTATTTTTATATTAACTAGCTCCGTTTTACAATACGACAAGCCTAACTTTTGGGTGAAATCAGACTTTTCAACTCAAGCTTATTGAATAATTAAAAAATTTCCGTCAAATTTGTTATTTAAACCCTAGTTATATATGGTTATAACAATGAATTAATGTAAATCAAAATTTTATTTGAGTAATTTCCGTAAAATTGAGTTTAAGTGAACGAAATTCACTTAAAGAAAAATTGGATCATAGAAAATGAATCTCCACTAAGGACTTAATCTACATTTTTCTAAGCATATCAGCCTAATGTCTATAAAAATTGAGATAAAAATGAAATTTTCTTAATCTTATGGAACAATGCGACCATAGTTCTTAAAAAATATTAAATTTAAAAAACTTTGCAGGGAAATATTATTGAATAAAGTAGACAAAATTTTAAAAATCTACAATTTCCAAGCTATATGTAAATAGTATGAGAACATAAAATGATTTGTTATTTTAAATGAGAGAAACTAAAAATTCCAATTATACTTTTAATTTATAAAATTATTTTCAAAATAGTTTCAATTCCCAAAACAAATTAAAATTATTAACGCTCGGACAGTAGACATTTATTTAGTTATTTAAGGATATTTTAATTTATAATTTGTAATTCGGAAATTTATAAATGAGTACACATTATCGTCTATATGTATACATACTTATATACAAATGAGATTTTATTTTAATATAAACTTACTTAAATGAATATTTCCTTTTGCGATTTGAGTTTCCTGTATGATTTCTTTGTACTTGTTGTCGCATATGTGAATATTCATTTGATGTTTCATCTCTATTAAGTGATTGTTGTTGCTGTTGTTGCTGATGCGGTTGTTGTTGTTGTTTGTGTTGTTGTGATTGTTGTTGCTGCTGTTGCGTTGATTGCTGAGATGAAATTCTATCATTTGCAATTGCACCATCATCAACTTGAACGGTAGATGATGTATGATTAACAGAATTATTTGTAACAGATCCATCAACTTGTTGTGGTGTGATTTCACTTGGATTAACATGATGTCCAATTTGTGTCATGTCTCCACTGGCCATATACATTGAACTAGAGCAGGTACCACTATTATATTTTGAAAAATATGGAAGAGAAGAGAAATATTTTTATTTTATTGTTTTGTTTTTTTATTTTCATTTTATTAAAATTTACTTTGCAGTTTGTTGAGCATTTAAGTCGTAATAAATATGTGAATATTGATTAACTTCAATTGGATTTTGAATAATTATTGTCTCTGAATTAGATTCCGTATTTTTAATTTTTCTATATTCCTTTTCGCCTTCGTTTTTTAGTTCTTCTTCTTGTTGTTCTTGCTTAATTTTCTTATAAAATTTATAATGTTTATTGGTACATAATGCCGTTGTTTTTAAATTATTTTCAAAATTTTTATTTAAGTGATGAAAATCACGATTTCCTAAAGTTTCTATACTAATAAATTCGGTTTTAATATCCTGATCCTGCAGGATTTTTTTTTCTTTGAATGGTGAGTCTGAAAATGAAAAAAAAAAACAAATTACAACCATTAAAAAATAATATAAAATATTTATATTATAAATGACATTAGACTCAGAGATTAACGACTTGAAGAGGTTTCTGTTTATTTTGTTTATTATACTTCGAACATGAAAAATTAGTTTTCTGTCTTTTTATCTTTCAATATTACTTGAATTTTGGGAATTGTACTTTTGAATTCGCATTCTTGTATGTGTTACCTTATATTTTCCTTGAAAGAACTTAGAGGATTTTATACTAACATAATAAAAATTTTGTCGCTTTGTAACGATCTCGGATCTGTTCATATATTTGAACATTTTATTAAAAAAAGCTTTGAAAATAAAGAATAATAATGGACCGTATTAATCAAAGAAACGGAAGGATTTGAAAAACATTAAATCTTGATAAAGAACGGCGTACTTGGACGCACCTCACTTCTTAATAGATGTTTTTATTTTTGTAATGCATCGGTCTAGTAATAATGATTTTAGTGCATTTATTGTAAAAACTTAGCTTGGTCGGCATGTAATTCTGTGGTTATAAGCAATAATTGCCTAAATTTAATTTAATAGCTCTGTATTTTATTCGTACGAAAGTATTTTCGAAGGGTACTATAAATTTTCCTTACCGTTTGCAACGTTTAGAAATAATGGTCTGAGTTTCGATCAGCGTCGAATTCTGAGTTGATTTAGCTTTGTCTGTCTTTCGTTCGTTCATACGAGCGATAGCTCAAAAATCATTGAGGTTAGGTCACCCCATTTTCACAAATGATATTATAAATAGCAAATGCCAGAACCCTATTTAAGTTGGATATGATATACCTACTGGTTCGGGTAGTTGCCATACAATTTCAAAGTATATTGTGTGTGTATAAATTAGCCCTACTAATGTGTTTAATAAAAGTCGGTGAAATTGCTTGGTCCCTTCTAGTTGCTGTCATGCAAATTGAAAAGTTATTTGACTATATCTTTTAAAGCCTGTTCAACCTACAGTACTAAAATTTTACGTTAAAAGTTGTTGAAATCTCATTAGCGCTTGTAATACCTGTTACAAAATTTCAAAAGTTATTTGGCCATATCTCAGGAATTCAGCGCAAAATTTCGAAAATTTACACAAGCAAATATATTATTTGGGCCGTTATGTTTGATAAAAGCCGTTACAATATCTCGACTGTTTGTGGTAGCTGCCAAAGAAATTCATAAGCAGTTTGTCCATACCTGAGACACTTTTATAAAGTCTCTCAGTTATGGACAAACTGCTTATTACAATTTTATAAAGTTGAAATTTCGTACAAATTAATTTGGTAATGTAGCTATCACTTTCAGTAAAATTTTTTCAGATTATATCGGATTTTATGGTAACTACCATAAGTTATGTATAAAATAGAATTAGACACAAAAAACAAGAGATTGTATGAAAATGTATCGACGCTCATTGACTCATGTATATCAACTATCGACAGTGAGATTAACTTAGAGTTGGCACGGTCAACTGTATCTATTCTCGTTTTAGTAAAATTGAATTTTACTTTTAAATTAAATTTTTCTAAATTAAATATAGTCCACTTTAAGAATATTCGAATAATTTATAATTTTATTTATATTCTAGATTTAACTTAGGTTTTTTTTCTAAATAAATTTTAATTTTAAATTGAAATTTTATTATTGATTAATACTGTTTTTTTTTTCAATTAAAGCAGCTTTTTCTCTGAAGCCGGGGGAATTTACTGAGGTTTCATCTTTGACTTTTTAACAAAAATTTTCGAATGATTTATTTTCAAATATCACACATATTATCATTATTATTATTTTATAAAATATTATTTAAATTTTCTGATTATTCTTACTCTAATAAATCGTCTTTGAATATTGTAATTAAAATTTCTTAAAAGTTTAAACTGACCACAACTTTACAATTTGTAATAATTTCTTATTAAAATATTTTTTTTCAATTACCTATACTCGTAGTATAATTATAATTAAATAATTATTTATTGAACTGGTAATTTTTTCATTTATTTATTTCCTTTTGCAATTAAATTAAATATTAAAATAATTTAAATAAAATAAACTGAGATTCAAAGTAATTTCAAAGTTCACAAATACTAGAATTTTAAGTAGATTTTTTTTTATGATAATTTTAATCTTAAAATAAAAATACTGATGATTAATTTCAATTTAATTTTACATTAATCTTAAATTTTTATTTATTTTTTAATTTAGTTTATTATAAATTATATACAATACTTTTACTTTTTTAATTGTTCACCCGACAAAAAATTTTGAAGTGATTTTCTTCTTAATATTTTGTATCAAAATGTTTAAAAATTTTTAAAATTCAAGATTTTATTTATACTTGACCAGATGAAAAAAGAAAAATGTATCCTAAAACTTAATCATTACACACATATAACAACAAATTCACATATGTACATATACTACATGTGTGAGTATATACAAAGAATGTGTATACACAGTGGAATTTATCTAAAGGAATTTCATTATTGTGTATGTATTTGTGTACTCAGAAATGGTTCACCTATCAGATTAAAGAATTTCATTGTGCAAAATTTTTATTTGTAGTAAAATGAATTTTATTTGTATGTAAATACATATATATAAATATATGTATTGTAAAAGGATATCATGTATTTATATAGGTATGTTTGTAGATGTACTTGGAATAATTGAATATGTTTATGTTTGTGTATATATATGTTCGCATATGTATAATATTGTTATGTGGAATTGAATTTTATAATAAAAATTATTTTTATTTTACATAATAATTATTTTATGTACATATGTTTGAAGAAATGTTAATTTAATTTTTGAATTTTTAAGAATAAAAAGTGAAAGGGCGCATGTTCAGCACCTTTTTATTAAAAAAATTGTTTTTACACCTAACGTTGGGAGCGGTACTTGATAGTAAATGTGAAGAATTTGAAAATGTAAAGTTTTTTTTCTTTAATTTTATTCAACAGGTGCTTGTTAGTCGCAAAAATGTACAATGTTCGAAAAGGATAATGTACACTCGTACTTATATCTTAGGTATTCACATGATTTTGTTAGAATTTATGAGCAAAAAATAAATGGAAAGGATTTAGAAAGTGGTAATACTCAACAGCTTGTTATAAGCACTTATTATTGCGATTAATAATAAAATTGTATAAAAATTAAATTTTTTTTTCTTAACTAATGCTATAGTAATCATTTTCGTGTTTTTTTTATCAAAAGGGTAACATGAATTAAAATTCTCTGTATAGTAGTCCTAGTTGAATGTGTTTTCTTAATGGTCTGCATTGAGTATATGATTTTCACGTGATAAAATCTGGTAGAAAAGCAGAACAAGATTTAATTGCTTATATTAGCAGAGTTTGATTTGTAATTAAAATTAATAATTTATTAAATGAAATGTTAAATCCACTCTATGTTATCAATATAAAGATTAAATTCTGAAAGGACTTAATTAGCTATTATGGAGTTAATAGTAATCTACGATAAAATATTTAGTGAGTGCGTTTAGAAATGTGATAACATTTTTTGTTATTTTAAATAATTATAGAGTTCTTCTAGGATATTATTTTTTTGACAAAAATGAGAACAGCTCTTTAATATAAAAACATTGAGTGAAAATTCATACTGTCATAAATTTACAAATAAAAATTTGAGCAATTTTACTGAGGAAATGTCCCACAACGTCATGCTCACTAGCCAGGACCCGCCCAAACTGTCTCTTCTCTTATGGATCGGCGCTCCATACTCATTGAGAAGGGGCATCGGAGTCTTCTCTCCTTCCTTATAGTACCTGCAGGATCCGTCAGTCCCTACATAAACCACATTAATAGACTACATAAGAGCGAAAGAAAAATGGTCACCATATATAGATTTGGTTCATCAAGAAAAAAACCAATAACGAAAATAAATTTTTTTATGTAAAGAGTTTATTTTAATATGTAAATGACAGAAAATAGCAGTCAACATATAGAATATAGGGGTGGTGTCATTAAAAAGGCATGCATTTCTCGTGAAAAAATCTAAGTAAGTTCAAGGGTGGTAAAAATCTGTTTATGTTATGAAGGTGGTCCCAAAGTATTGCTGAAAATGTGTTGAGGCTTTGCTATATTTCAATAAACAAAAGAATCTACTCTAAAAATTGTGAGAGTACCTCAAAAAGAAGATTTATAAAATGTTGAAAGAATATTTGAAAGTAAATATGGAAAAAATGTGTTTAATTTCATAAAATGGTTTATAACAATATTTTAAAACCTATATATTTAAAATGCACTTTGTACAACTTAATAATTAAATATATTCTATTTTAATAAATATAGGTGTATGTAATAGCTTTATTGAGATTATAAATAAATTAAAAATGTTAATTTTTATAATATTATAATCTTAAAGTTCATCTACTTAATATAGCAAAAATTACGTGTATAAATTTTAATGCAAATTAGAATTTCTATTCCAAGTTTCTTTTTTGTTGGTTTTTTCACATTATTACAATATAATAATATGTAAGTTCTCAATTTGAGATTAGGAAGCCTTAATTTTATATGCATAAACATGTTTAAATATGTTCAAATAAAGAATATTATATTATTGTAATAATACCAAGTATAGGAGCTGATAAAACTCGCTCAAAATAAAATAAAAAAGGTAAAGTTTTATTAATCCATTTTAATTCTAATTATTTAATACTAAATTCCCTAAATGATGAGTCGAATTAGATTATAATTTTAATTCAATAATTATATTTGAATATGAGAAAAATATTACATAGGTTAAAAAGCCCTGCATAAGTGAATATTTATTTTGAGTCGAATTTTTTTAATTTTATTAAAAATTCTCTAGATTTTTAACAAAAAAAAAACCGAAGATATTTTGTAGTTTCGAAATAATTTTTCTTAATTTGAGTCTTAAACTTAATTTGAATTTAAAATTTTTATTTTTTTTTTCAAAAAACAAATGCATGCAAGCATATGTATGTATATTGTATGTGGTGTAATGTTATACTGTTGCATTCGCATTTTATAAACTACTACACAAGCAATATTTGTGTATATGTAAATCAAAAAATTAATAATTTTGCTCTCACTTTTATAATATTTTTTTTTCAATAATAAAAAAACCAAAAAACATTTATTTTTCCTTTCAATATACATTAAAATTTCCCAATACGATGATGAACATAAGATAAATGATAATTTTTGTTTAATCTCGCATCCCCAGACACATAGAATTTTAAATATATGAATTTCATTAATTTTAATTAAAAGCCCAATCTTATATATTGTTGATACGATGCCAAAATTAATTTGAAATTTAAAATAATAATTCATTTAATATTCTTTTTTAAGTTTTTCGAAATATTTATTTGTTTTTTCAGCAGTATTTAAAAAAATTGCATATTTACATAATATGTGTATAACAGTTTTCGTAATAATTTCACCAATTTATTTAAACTAATATTTTGTATTTACGTCTTATATTTAAAAGTATGTCATCATAAAATTAATATAACTATACTAATATAAGTCGATGATGAAGACTGACATGTGTTGCATTGAACACATGTCAGCTTTACTATATAATAGCATATGATAAAAATCTCTAAGGTTACGTATAGGGAAAAAATTACATTAGAAATAATGTTTGTTATATGCACTTATTTTGAAGGAAAACTCCGATATACTGAAAACGGTAAGTCTGTTGATTTACACATTATTATTAAATCAAATTTGGAATTACTGATTTGTTTTTCTTTTTCAGAATAATTTTTATCTTAAAAAAGAGGCCGGATATCTGAGTAAAATACTTGACATCTTTTTATAAAGGAATATTATATTAAAAATGTTTTTAAAATTCTAATTTTTTTCTAAAACACGAGAATATTTTTAATTTTATTTAAAGATATGCATATATATACATATCTATATGCGTACTTAATAATAAAATTTATAAAATAAAAAATTATAATATTGAAATTTTTATGAAATAAATTCTAATTTATTTATCGATTAGATTTTTCATTTGAAATAAATTATTTAAAAATAATTATTATTAAGCGAATTGTATTAATAAAGAAATCTATACACAAGGTGTTTCGCATAAGTTGGTAAATAATTCCAGGGGTGATTCTTTGATTAATTTCCAGCAAAAAATTGTATGAGGGGGTGTAGATATACTCGTTTTCCAGCAACAGTTAGTTGGAAAAAAGATACCGGACTTTATATCCTGCATATAAATAAAGCCCTCCCACCCCCCGGCCCTACAATTTTTTGCTGGAAATTGGTCAAAGAATCATTTCTGCAATTATTTAGACACACCTTGTATAATTATTATTTAGTTATTAATTTATTTAATATTACTGAGATAAAATAAAAATTAACAGCAATAAAAAAAAGAAAGGAAATTACATAATGAATTTTGTTAAATTAATTGAGTTTCAATTCAATTCATTAGGGCATAAGAATAATATAAAGTTATATAGGAAGATGTTTGTGTACAGGATTATGAGATTTGTTCAAAATTTCTTCAATATTCCATATTTGAAATGTGTAATTGATTATCATATATTTTTAAAAACAAATGTAAATACAGTTTTTTAATAAGTGTAATACAGTTAATTGAACTTAATTTTAGATTGGTATTAATTATTAAATTGAATTATATTTAAAAAGTACGAGCACATTACTATATTGCTTAAGAGTCCAAACGCGAATAATAGAATATGACCATCTGGTAGCCAAAATTTCTGCACCTTGCCAGATTTTATTCGAGCGTAAAAATTGAGATCTTTGCACAAAGTTATGACCGTCGATTTTGTATAATACTAATTTTTAATTAATAAAACTCATAACAAATCGAAAAGTAGAATAAGAATTTTCTTAAAGGGATTTAATAATGCATAATTTGGATAATACTTTATAAAGAGCCCAAAATTAGAGTTTTCACTGTGTATAGGATTACAAAATAAAAATTATTCTTCTTCTGTTTAAGGCGCACGAATATATATGTTTTCTGCATCAACTTAAAGTTCGTCTGCCGATATTAATTTTTGTATAGTTTATTGTTCCAAATAAAAAAAATTAATTAAGAAAATTCACATTCCATGTTTCTTAAATATCAAATATTATTAATCAAAATAAAAGCTCTCAAATTTCTTAAATTATCTACTTTTATAAATCTGTAAAAACCAATATGTAATTTTCACATTTATCCTTAAATATTCAATTATTTTTCGATTTGAAGAAAAAAAAAAGAAACAAAGAATATTATTTTGAATCAATACGAGTAATATAAAATAACAGTAATTATAAGTGTTATATTTCATTTATAAGAAAATTGGCAACGAAATGTTAAGACAGATAAAAGGAAAGAAAAAATGCTCACCTTTCTCACCATTTATTTTTTCACTCGTCACCTTTGTCGATTCAATTTTGACGTTGAATAATTGAAAAAAATGATAATTTTGAATAATATGATCCGTGTTTTTGCAGCAATTGTAAAAAATTCCTTTTATTTACGGTAATTACCTGTTAATAAAGAAGATAACAATAATTTTCATCAATAATAATGTAAAATATAAAAAAGAAAATTATAATTTTTATGAAAAATTATTATGAAAAAGGTTAGACTTAACAAAAGTAAAAAAAAATACAAAGTTTTTCAATTTTATGTCATGGCAACATAAAATGGTACCATTTGGTATTTGCGAAAATTTATGATAAATTCATAAATTAATAAAAAAATGGTAGAATTAAGAAAAAATTTGGATGAAAAAAAAACTGGGTTATATACCTATCTATTGTCATATTACCACTTTTATAACAGTAATCTAAATTTGTATAAAATTTTTAAATGATTCATCTTTAATCTTTTAAGAAAGAAAATTTAGAAAATTTATTTGTAAATCGTCAAACTTCATATAACGATTTATTAAGGCTCCAATAGAAAAGAATAATTTAATTTTTTAAGGATTTCTAAAATATTACAAGGCCCTTAATAATTCAACAATTAAATTTGAAGATATTAACGATGTGTTCAAAATGTGACGATGGGAATACTATTGATTTAACACAATTTGATCTCCGTTTCTATAGAAATAAAATTCGCTGGAAATTAAATTTTATCAATTGCCACAGTTCTCTGGGTATATATAATGAAATTTGAAAGATCATGTTAAGGCTTTACATTCTATTTCTTCAAAATTAATTAATTGCTGCCGAACCCGTTGGGATAATATTACATTCTTTGCAATATTATTGTAAAACAGTGATCTAGTTTGAAAAAGGGAATAATAGAATTATTATTACTTTCCTTTAATTAAGATAATACATATTTTTATTTCACCTGAAAATCTCTATGGTATTAAAATACGTACATGTGTATTTGTTAACAAGGTTGAACAATTGAAATTATACTTATTTCGAATTTATTCAAGTTTAATGTAACTGTAAAATTTTTATATTTGAAAGGAAAAACCTTCTTTTAAAAAATATAGTAATCCTCTATTTTTCTTCCTCTTCCATTGTTTCATATATGAAAAATCGATTTTTAATTAAGATTTTGTATCGATTTCCTATATATATATACATTTATGTAATCGACTTGATATAGAACAAAAAATAATGTATGTAAGTATGTATGTATATATTTATTTGCTATTAGATTATGTTATAGTGTTGCTTACATAATTTGTGTATAGTTCTAAAGTGACACAATTGAATTTCGTAGAAAAGAGAATAAAGAGAATTGTTTTTTAAAAATACAATTGAAATTTCTTTACATAATTATTATGGTAAGGCAAATTTGGCCTTGATGTCTCTTGTAATTTATTTTTATATTAGAAAGGTAAAATATTGTTGCTATTTTATTTATTAGGAAATTAAAAACAAAGTTCAAAAGAAATGGATTTGTGCTTGAATAAAATTCAAAAATATCTAAATCCATAAAAATCGAAAATTAAAATTTTGCACATCTCTGCCCGCTTATTTATTTAATACCAGCACAAAATCCTATACTGTAAGAATGTACGTACGAATTGTAGCACGGGCTCTATGAATAATACTGAGAAATTGCTGCATCTTACAAAATATAATATATTAACATGTACATCATAATATGTATGTATATATATATTCTTGCTTACCATCATACTCTAAATATACTTCATTCCTCAAAATATAATTTAATAGTCAACATAATAATTTATCAAATTTTCATAGATGATTGTTAGTACTTTATGTCAGAACTTAAAAAAATTTACATAAATATGCTATCAAACCTTCGCTTGTCCATATTTATGTAAATTTGGGTATTTGCCTGGCAATTTTCAAAGGAACTTGGAAATATCTTAGAAAATATTAAAGCTATTTACACAATCGAAATTTTTTGGCAATGATGAAATATACGTATTATTAAACCTCTAATTTTATAAAAAGCATACTTTATATTGTTGAAGTTCTTATGCTAGGTACCGTAAAACTTCAATACTAGTTTAATTATATGGCAGAAAATGTTCAAGTTAAAACTATATAAAAATATTATACGAGACAACATGAAATATTATATGGATGAGGCCTTTGTTAGAACTAGTTTTATTTGAGATTGTGTTGAAATTAAAATGGCCGCTCTCATAACACTACTGAAAACAATAATATTGTTTCAGGTTATCACAAATTTTATATGATCAATTCTACATATTTTTGGCAATATTAAAATAAAACTGATATACACGCAAATTAAACTTCGTAAAATTTAAAAGTTTTTAATAAAAAAATAATTTTTTGAGATTTTCTAGATTTTTTACAATATTCTTTGCTACATAATGTAAACAATATGTATGTCCTTAAATTATATACATATGTACATCCCCTTCAAATAAAACAATGTATATCTTGTATATCAATTTCAATACAGATTTCTGGAGGAACGCATAACATGTTTACATAATACTTATAAAATATATTTATGTTCAAATATTAAATTTTAAATTATCTTCAAAAAAAGAATAATAATAAATCCTTTTATAACATTTACAATTGAAATAATATTGATTGTAATGTAAAATAAAGTAAATTTGTTTATAAAAGCAAAACAATATGAAAAAAATAATAATAATTGTCAAAAACAAGTACTTTATTCTATGATTACTCAAACAATATATTGAACTTCAAATGCACACTAAGAAAGAAGAAAATGATTAGAATGATGGGTGAGTTAGCCAAATTGGAGGAGAAGTAAGAGATGTGGTAAAAGAATTTTAAAACATCCTTTTCTTCTTTTTACAATTTGTTTATTGCTGTGTGTGTATTGTGCATATTATTTTTTTTACCTGTACTCGTATTGCTTACTTTTTCACAAATTTCAGAATGATTTTTTTGGTTTTTTCTAAATTTAAATGACTATTTTTTTGACACATGCCTTCTATTAAAAGATTTTATTTAAAAATGTTGGATAATATTTTTTATATAATAAAATTAGTTTAATGGAAATTAATTTCATTGTTTTGGAAATTTTATTATAGATGCGATTTTGTTTACTTTTTAATTATTTATTATGGCGTTATGTAATTTTAAAGACAAGGTAAATGAACAAAAATTCGAAATGCCGTGATTTAATAATAATTCTTATTAAACTTCATTTTCATTTGAAATAATTTGTTAGTCAAAATATTTTATGGTAAAGAAATGTTATTTTTAATTTCACCCAAAATTATTACACATATAAAAATATCTTCCTGTTTTAAATTTAATTAATTGAATTTCAACAGAAAGCTATTGTCAAATTTATGAAAATTAATATTTTCAAAATTGCCTATTAGGAAAATTTAGAAAGTCTATTATTTCACTTAAGTTTTGAAATTTCTTCGGGATTCTAAGTGGGGTTTTACAATAATTTGATTGCAATCGTAGAATTGAACTAAAATATTTCCTGTTTTATACATGGGAATAACGTGAGAATTTAAATGTTTTAATATTACAATTTTGTGTCAAGCCGACTCATGAGAAATTTTACCTTATTGTGACAAAAATTTCACTTCTATCTTTAAGTATAAGATTATAGTTCAGCTTATTTGGTGCTTTTTCATAATATTCATTCAAGATACCTGAACATTTCCTTTTATTATAATCTTCAATTCAATTATAATTACTGTATAAAATTCATCGTTAACTTTTAAAATAAATTTTTATAATAATAATTAATTTAACTAATAAAAAAACAAGTAATTTTAATATAAAGTTTTTACTTGCAATAATTGCATATTTAAATTAAAATTAATAAATCTTTATCTGATATTTGATAACAATAATTATAATGCTATATATAAAAAGCTTTAGATTTAAAATGAAACGTGATCTTGAAAATTATTATTGCACAAATGTAATAATTTTACCGAACAGGTTGCAATGCATATATTCATATATATATGTAATTTGCTTATTATTGTACATATGTTGGTTGGTTGACGTGGCAGGTGAAACAGGTCTGTCGCACGCCAATTAGAACTAATGTACTGTGGTCTATTTAAGCCACCAAGCTCCCATCAGAAATCTATTTAAATCCCCGATACTAATCTACGACATCTAGTCCAACCCCGTCACATACGTTGTGCCCCATGTGACCTGCTGCGATACGCTGATCTCTCGGCGGTTGCAATACCTTGTATTGAAAGGCTATCCACCCGCGGTTAGCGCACGATAAGTAATGCCTGTATATATCATTTTCACCTCATCCGCCCGATCATTTCCCGCTTTATTATGGTGACCCCAGACACAAAGGAGTGTACACTACAGCAAGTGCACACTTCCCTCCCCCCTAAACTCCGGCTCACAACAATATTTGCCCACAAGTTTCGAGAGGATACACTAGGTGACAAAAGCGTCCTTGTATATTATAATTATTATTTGCATTTTTTATTATCACTGTTTTTTTGTGTAGTCGCTATGTGCTAGCGTTCTAGTGTTAAATAATTAGAATCTTTTGTCTAAAGTTTGTCTTATAAAAGAGTGAGAAATGTAACATTCACGTGACGGTGTGATTACTTAAAATCTAACTTTATATTAACTATATAAAGATATATAAAGAGTTAGAAGCATTAAATTCTCTCTGACATGCTATAAAAATGTCATACTAACACAATTTTTCGTGGTTTCTCAAATAATTTGAGATTTTTAATTGTTACTATACATACAATTGTATATTGATATGTATTGCATATGCATAAGTACATTCGTGAAAAGTTATTTATTTTTTTATTTGCTCCATTAAGCTTTAAAGCTTAAAGCACAAACTATAACTATTTTCTAATGAGCTTAAAACTATATTATATACTTAGCTTGTATATAGTACATATACGAGTAGTAACTTACGCACATATTTATAACAACGTATTATACATTTGAATTGTTTAAACCTTTCACCCTTTCATTGTTATACTCGTTAAATTTATTATTACAACTTTACATTAAGATTCTTCACTAATTATTGTACATATAATACACAAATTGCACATTTATGCTGTTATAAATAA